CCCACATTCCCTGGACAGCAGGTTACATGTCTATTCACACTGTACCTAGTTCTCAGTACTTCATGTACTGAGCTCAGTTCTGAGCTTAAAGACAATCTTAAATCCTGTGTCTCCTCCAGCACTTTTCTTAGAACTAATTAACTGTCCTTAATGTAAAATTTGCAAGCCATTCTCAGAAAAAAAAAAACAAATCCAACTTAGTCGACCATGATAAAAAATAAACAAACAAAAAACTACAACAAACCACACAGTAGTATCCTTGTCTTCAGAACAAGCAGAACAGATTATATCAAGACAAATCCAAATAACCAAAGGGAAAAATGCCAACTAAATTATATCTCCTGTACAGTAGAAAATACAAAAGGGCCGCAAATTTGGCTGCTTCCTAGGCAAGATGCTCTGCACATACCAGTCACTACCAATCTTTCCACTGTATTACCTCCTCATATTCCTTGTAAAAAACCTGCTATTCCTTCTGCTTTTGAATAAAAAAACTCCGTATCAGCCCCCTCCTGAAGACAGTTCCCTCTTCAAACATCACTGCCCTCATTCCCTGCACCATACCCTCCACACCTCTCCTCTCTCTGGTCTACACCAAGTGAGTTTCTGCATAAATGGGACATCAGCAGAGGAAAAAAAGTTGTCTTGAAAAATGCCAGGTGGACACAGCTCCAGTTTGAGTACAGAGCTCTTGAACACCTGCCTATGCCACAAAAGAAGGAAACACAAAATCATAAATATTATTATAGATTAACACACTCTCAGAATTCTTGTCGACGTGTGACAGTTCTTCTTTTTAAGCATGTTAAGTGGTAGACCCCTAAGAAGTAATTATTAATCTTGCACATCAAGAAAGCTCCAAAAGAATTAACTACACAGAGCAGCTGCGCTCCAGCCATTGATGATGTAAAAATGAGCACAGTCACAACCCTGTACAAGCTCAAGCAATGACAGCTACACAAGAAATGCTATGAAAAGCACCAGCAAAGTGTCTGGATCCCAAATGTTTGAAATCTTAATTTGAAGACAACGTTTTAAGGTGTAATAAATTCCATTCAACTGACATGACAAAGTTACAATTATCTATGTTACTAAACTGATTTTACCAAGCTATGCCATCTGACAAGGGAAATGGCAAACTCTTCAGCAGCTGCACTGGAAAAAAAATCTCTTTTCAACTTTGCCTTGTTTCCCTCCTCATACGTAGTACTATTAAAAAAAAAAAAAGAAAGAAAAATTAAGAACTCTGTTATAGCTAAGCCAGCCATTTTCAGCTGCCAAACTGAAGTTTAGTTCCATTTTAGTACCAGGAGACTGTGGATCATAATTCATCTAGTTAAACTGAGGATTACTTGTTGACATCAATTTTGAACAGCCCAAAATAACCCAGTCTTCAAATTTTGGGGGGAGGAAAGGGCATGAGATTATTAAGAGAACTGGCAGTAGCAGTTTAAATGCTTTGCTGTGATTAGCAGAGAGCACATCACGACAAGGAATGTATTGATCTGAAGTTGTGCTAGAACTGATATGGCAAAGAGAAGCTGGAAAGAGAAACATTAACACCCAAGTTAATACCACATGAAGGAGCCAGTAAATCTCACTTTAAAGTGCCTGAGAGAACATCTGATTATTTGATTGACTGTATTAAAAATAACCTCCCATTCAATCAGTAAAGTATTTCCTACTTACAATTCTGACTTATTTACAGATCCTTCTTGCAAAGGGCACCAAAGATGAGTGGGAATTCCTGTCCCCGAGGAATTTACAGGTCAAACAACATACAATGAGAACGGCCACACACAAAGCTAAAAATGTCCCCTTGACCCATTCTGAGCTGGAATTAGTCTCCAATTAAAGTCACGCTTCTGTGATGAACCCCGTTGACGTTTTTGTGCCACTCAGCATTCCAGTTACATTAATATTTGTAATTATACTTCTGAGAGAATGCTAATAGCCACAGCTCCACACAAACTGATCACGGCCCCGCCGGTGTCACCCCCACCTGCCCGCCCTTGCTTAAGCAGCACAAGGAAAGTAAAGCAGCAATTTCTTTCTCCTTCAAGAGAACTACACCACACAATTAGTTTCACAAATCCCACGAAATGCAACGCATCCAAAGGCTTTATTCTCTTTGAATGCTGTGAGGGGCTTAAACCAGAGGTGATCTTTCATATATGACATGCCAGACTCCACATGCTGAAACACCAACTCAGCTTGGCCTTCAGAAGGAGGGCAGCAAAAGAGTTCCAGAACACCTCCTGCTGCTCACCTGTCTCCCCCTGTCTGAGTAACTATTGAAAAAGGGGGGGGAAATAAATAAGCCTCACAAATATCTTCTGTGAGACCGATAAGCAGATGGAAAAACAAAACTGATTACAGCAGATCTCTCCTGAACTACTCTTAAAAGGTTCTGCTCACAACAGAGTGACCTCTAAGAAGAGAAAGAGGGAGTAACTACACAGAAAACATCCCACCTTTCAATTTTTGCCCCAACAAACACATCAAAGCACTAAATCCACATGCCAGCTCCACCACTTGTGACACGGCAGGCAGCTGGTGAGCAGAGACTGTTCAAGCACAGCACAAAGCCAGTCAAACAACGTTTGTTTACCACACCAACCCCCAAGAATTCCAGAAAAAGTTGTCATTATCGCCATCGCTGAAAGTCACCGTGGCAGCAGAAAGTTCTCAGCAGGCGGGCTGTGCCAGCCGTGCAGGACACCCGGATCCATCTTCTCCATCATCTCTCCCACCCGCTGCTCCCAGGGGAGCCGGGACTGCTGTGGGGACAGGCTGATCCTGTCACTCCCAAGGAAGGACTCACAGACACATCCAAAGGACTCGCAGACACATCCATGACCTCCGCAGACAAGTTTATCTTATCCTGCCAGGAAGCTGCTGCAGTCTGGGACCGTGCAGGCAGACAGGGAGGCGCGGCAGCGTGGATTAACCAAGGTCTGCCTCGCTCCTTAATCCAACTTTCCTGATTTTTGTTTGGACTCCGGTTCCCAAAGACGAACTCGATTTTGAAATGCTTCCCACACTGTACTTTAAAAAGCATCGACAATAGGTGATCACAGAATCACAGAATGAATCACGGAGCGGTTTGGGCTGGAAGGGACCTTAAAGATCATCTTGTTCCAACCCCTGCCATGGGCAGGGACACTTTCCACTATCCCAGGCTGCTCCAAGCCCCGTCCAACTTGGCTGTGGACACTTCCAAGGATGGGATAGGCAATACCATGTTAGTTCTGCTACCCAAAATCACAGACACAAACCATCACTGCCATCACCTACTGCAGATCCACAGCGGCACATGCGAGCACGAACAAAACCAGAGCGGGAGGGAGGCAGCGCAGGCACGATCCCACTGATCCCACCGGGCACACCGAGGTGCCACGGGAGGGAAAACCCGAGTGGCTGCCTTTGCAGCGAGGCTGTGCCAGCCTGCCTTCCCCCAGCAAACCCCTCCACGCGGGACACGGACCGCAGCGGGACCGGGGCCGCCTCCTCCCCGCGGTCCCGGCCGGCTCCGGCTCTGCTCGCCCCCGCTCCCCCCGCGCCCCGCAGCGCTGCCCGAGGAGGGCAGTGAGAGCACAGGAGCTTTACCTCTCCGCCGGGATCCGTCCCTTAGTCCCTCAGGAACACGCTCTGAGCACTGGGAGCCGCCTGCGCCCCGCGCCGCCCCCCCCCTCCCGCGCTCCCCCCTCCCCCCCCCCGCTCACGACATGGTCTCTCCCGAGGCGCCGCGGCTGCCGCGGCCGCGGGCGCTCCCACTCGGCGCGGCGGGGGGGGGGGAAGGGGGGAAGGCTGTGCCCGCGCTCCTCTAATGGCGGCGGCCGGAGCGGCCCAAAGCAAAATAAACCCCCGCACAGCCCAGCTGGACGTCAGCGCGGCCTGCCGGCCCTGCGCGCCGCCCATTGGCCGGGCCCGCTCCTGCCTTCCGCCAACCGGCGGGCGGCTCTTTGCGCAGGGCGGTGATGTCATCGCTGCCGCGGGGTGCCGCGCGCAGGGCGGCCGCCAGGGGGCGCCTCCCGGGCCGGTCCCTCAGGGCGGGTCCTGAGGGAGGCGCGGGGCGGCCCCGGTACCGACCGGCCCGGCACGGCCCTTCCCGCTGCTTCCCGACGCGGCCCGGCCCTTCCCGCTGCTTCCCGCTGCTTCCCGCTGCTTCCCGCTCCACTGCCGGGTCCTGAGGGAGCCGAGGGGCGGCCCCGGTACCGACCGGCCCGGCCCGGCCCGGCCCTTCCCGCTCCCCTGCCGGGTCCCGAGGGAGCCGAGGGGCGGCCCCGGTACCGACCGGCCCGGCCCGGCCCGGCCCTTCCCGCTGCTTCCCGCTGCCCTGCCGGGTCCCGAGGGAGCCCAGGGGCGGCCCCGGTACCGACCGGCCCGGCCCGGCCCGGCCCTTCCCGCTGCTTCCCGGCCCTTCCCGCTGCCCTGCCGGGTCCGAGGGAGCCCAGGGGCGGCCCCGGTACCGACCGGCCCTTCCCGCTCCTTCTCGGCCCTTCCCGGTCCGGACCGGCCCTTCCCGGCCCTTTCCTCTCCCCTGTCCGTTCCCCTGCCCCGCACGTCTGAAAGGTGAAATTTTAAGGAATTTAAGAGATTTTTAGAGGAGCTTATTGTTTTAGTTAGAGATAAGCCTTACTAGAGTTAATTAAAAATAAATTAGTAGGCCTCGATGTAGTGAAGAGTTACGAGTTAGCTAATAATTGCTTGTCAGCATGATGTTTATTAGCTGGGTTTATAGTGAAGAGTATAGAGACTGACAAAGAGGTTTTAGGGATGTAAGACAATTGTGGGCCTCCTCTGTTCTGGAGACAAGGAATGGGAGTTCTACCAAAGTTCATTTGTCATATTTGCGTTGAAAAGGTAGAAAGGTCAGAAGGAGGAAGACTTCAGTTACTTCCTCATTTTGGGACCCCTCCCCATGAAATGGACACCGACCTATTTCAAGGAACAAACCACACATGCTGAATAGATTTTGAAATGATTCGCGTACGAAGTGAGGAATGGGATGTACCAAAATGATTAATATGTATTTGTATTTTGGGTATTCAATACTTGTATGGATAAAAGGGCTCTGTAATCACCTGGAAGCTGCGGTGTGGATTTGGGAGTCACCCCACACAATAAACATACCCTTTCTAACTTTAAACTGTTAGAGAGGTTTTGTCCATCACAGATGTACATCGGAGGTTCCTGTGGGAGTAATCCCTCAAAAAACCTCCTTGTGATGGCACATGGCCAGGCAGCAGCATCGGTTTGGTGGAAACCAAAAGATTTCCACCGAGGCTGGAAAAGCCCTCTCAGCCCTTCGAGTCCAATCTGTGCCCAATCCCCACCTTGTCCCCAGCCCGGAACACTCAGTGCCACATCCAGCCCTTCCTTGGACACCTCCAGGGATGGGGACTCAAACCTCCCTGGGCAGCCCCTTCCAATGTCTAATCACCCTTTCTTTGAATCAATTCCTCCTAATGTCCATCCTGAACCTCCCCTGGCTGCAGCTTATGACTCTGTCCTCTGTTTCTTACCAGCACTCGGGAAATATTTCGCTGTGGAACAACTGAAGGAATTGATGGGAATCCAGAATCCAGCAGGTGCCATGGTCAGGTTGATATGGTGGTGTTGGGTCATTAGTCAGACTCAGTCTCAAAGGTCTTTTTCAATCTAAATTGATTCTGTGAAATAAATTTTAAACACTTCCCCCACATGTTAATTCCAGCCATTCTGACTGAAGACAGTGAATGTGTGGGATTGCAGTTCAGGATGTCACCCTGCCCCAAAAGACTCATCCAAGCAGCAGCCCCACAGCACAAAGCCCATTTATCTTCTGAGAAGAAAAGACCAGCAACAACAGCTCTGCCAGCCCTTGGGTTCAGTCCTTGTGCTGGCTTTGCAATATTTTTCTTTGCTTTCCACACAAAAATTGCAAGACTGCATCTTCCTTAAGCTGCCCTTGTAGGCTCACTGACAGAAAATGTGTATTTTCCACATCCTTGCTTTTCCTTTGTGGGTTTTACATCTTTTGATACATGATTTTTTGTTCCCCCCACTGCATTTACTACTTTTTATTTCAGGCTTTCTCAGATGTTTTAGCACTTTCTTATTTCCATGGTTTCATTCCCCATTCCCAGACTCTGGTAGACAATGCCTCGGGCTTGGTGTTGGATTGGGAAATTCATCCTGGACCAGCTGGATCCACCCCTTCTCCCTCAGACCATAAAGAAAAGCACCTGAGATGTTCCAGCAGAGCAGTGCTAGAGAAAATCCCTTTGTCCAGCAAGCAAACAACCAGGACTGGAGTCAGGACAAGTAAAATGTAATTACTTATGGAGACTGAAATAGAAATTTGTCTTCATTTGCAATTAAATTAGTTCCCTATAAACATTGAGAACTGTTGCAGGGGGAAGGTAATGTGATTTCTCTCTCCCAGACTAATGATTTACTAAATTCTCTTTCTGACTCCACTGAGCAAGTTGGTGCATTTCTCAAAACATAGCTGTAGAAAAAAAGGGGGACATTTTTTTTTAAATAAGACTTGGATAAGTCATGTAAAATAAATATTCCTTGTCATAAGGAATTTTACCATCTCTCAGCTTAGAAATCATCCAGAAAATGAAAATGTATCCCTTGCTCTTGGCATCTAGGCAAGATGATGGAAGAGATGTTGGGGTAAATTCTAAATGCTGCCTCAACTGTGCAACAATGGAAATGTCCAGAAATAATTGTTATAGATTAGACTGCATAAAAATATATGAAAATACAAGGAACATCTTAGAACCACAGACTCACAGAGGGGCTTGGGTTGGAAAAGAGTTATGACCAGCTGAAAAAAATATAATTCCAAAGAATTCTATGATTCTAAGAGATTTTAATCTCTGCAGAACAGAAGCATTCTGAGTAGTGAAAAAGGTCCCTGGATAGTATTCGAAAGAGAACATGTGGGCAAATTGAATTTGAAAATATTTACCAGAGCAGAAGCAAATTCTAAGCTGCATGTCCCAGTGACCTGATGTTTTGATGTTGGTGACTTTATTGCTAAGGCCATGTCTTTGGCTTTAGCTCAAAAATTTGCTGGTGTCTCCTTCCAGGTTTACCTTGTAGGAGTTTGCTATTTGTTCTAGACTTAAACAATAAAATACAAGAGGAATGACCTTTCAGCAGGTTAGAACATTGATATTTACACATATAATTTATCCAAGAACAGCTTTCCGACTTCTAATTTGGAGACAAATCAAAATCTACATGGCTTGATAGTCCCGTCCTCAACAGATTTGGTATTTGATTATATTTTCTTTTTTTAAATGTCAGAAAGATAATTCTATTTTTGTCAGAGGTAGCAGAAGTTGTAAGCAAGTGCTAATTTCCTATATCCACCCAAAATTTTCATTTTCTTTCACCAGTTTAAGGAGAAATTTTAACTCCCTAGGAAGGAATTTGGAACAGTCATACTCATTTGACAGCTGAAGCTGTTATTTTGGGAGCCTTCCTTTGCAGAGCTGGATGTGCTCAGGCCTTGCAGCTTCTTCACACAGAAGTTGTACAACTGCCCCTTGTGCCTCACAATAAACCCACGGCAGAACCGTGACATAAAACTATCATTTGCACATCTACGTGCTCCAGCTTTCTCTTTTCCCCACTTTTCAAACACCATAAATCCCTGTTCTTGTAACTCCCCACCTTCCTTTGCCATCCTAACTCCTATCTCTTTTCTTCCTGCTCCTCCAGAACAAGAACTGACAGTAAATCTCTTTGTCAGAGCTCACCGATTTGGAAAAACCCAAGCACCGTGCACAAATGCTGGGATTTTGCAGGATTATCCAGCTCAGAGCCCCGCTGGTTCCCATCCTTGCCAGCCTGGAGCTGCCCCAGCAGCCTGGAACCCTTTGTGCCTGCGAGGTGTGAGCCTCGCAGGCAGCCAGCGAGGCAGATGGCTGGGAAGTTCCCTTCCTTTCCTACAAAGAATTTATAAATTTAGGATTTTTTTGGCGCTACCCTGACTTGCAATTTGCCGCTGTCTCCTACGAAACACGAGCGCTTTGCCTTACAAGATGCCTTGATTTTTTACAGTCCTGATGCTTGCTGTTAGTAAAAGGCCTTTCCCTCAACCCTCCCTGACGTTTCTGTTCTGATTCACCCTGTTTATACCCGAGCAAATGATACCCAAAGCTATATTTAGAAAGCCAGCATTGAAACATTCCACAGGAGCACATTTGTTGCGTGTAGTAGCTGGGGAGACTCAGCGACACAAAATTGTGCTTCAGGTAAGCAAAAAAAAACCAAAAAAAACCAAAATCCTAATTATTTTCTGCTGGCATGGAGTGTTTTTGTGCAGCAGAATTACCTCAGCTTGAGTGCAAAGATTACATCTAGTTAGTGATGTCTAAGTGCAGATCTTGCTCTTATGTAATTCTCTTTACCCTGGTAACTCCTCGCTCTCAGGCAGGGCTCCCATTAGGAGATTCATCCTCAGCTTATCCAGGAGCAGGGATGTACATGCTCACCAGATAGTTATTTCTCACTAGCTGAACTTTGGGTATGCAGAGCTCCCTACTCAACCAGCTCCTCAGATCCTGCTCTTGCCATCACTTTATCCTCTGTTTTCAGGAGCAAGGAAGACTAGCAGCCCTTAGATAAATGGTGAGGAATAGAAACACACAAAAATCCAAAGGAAGCACAGGTTTTGGATTGAGAACAGAATGTTTTAAATGGTTCACCGATTTGTTACCAGTTTTTCATCCTCTGAGTCAGCCTAAGCCTTTACACCCAGTAAATCCCATCCTTGGGCTGCTTTTCTCAATTTCATTTGAATCAAAAGTATCCAGCTATAGCTAGATCACTATGCTGAAGTCAGAGGAGGCTAAATCACAGAACCATAGAATGCCTTGGGTTGGAAGAAACGTGAAAGAACATCCATGGAGCCAGCAAGAGACCCCTCACAGCTCTCCAAGTAATCAGTGCTTGGGGGTGATTGTTTCAGGGAAAAAACAGCCAGGAAAGATAGAGAAGAAATAAACCTATCTTGGAAAAACTGGGCAAAAATATCTCTGAAGTCTGCACCCTGAAATGTATTTCAGTAGCAGAAAGAAAAAGGTTCAAAGTGGCGAGCACTTACATTGAAAGCTTACACGTTCTCATATTTTTCATTCCTCCTCTCTGGTTCCACATGGAGCAGAGGAAGGGGGTGAAGGAGTAAATCCATCAGGATGGGGCTTTCCAGCTGAAGGGTTGGAGCCCTGGGATGGGGGAGCCTTGGAAGTTTTCCTCAGCTGGTGAAGGAGTCTGTGGCCAGCAGAGAGGCAGCACAGGGGGAGAAGAGCAGGAAGCTGGGGGTGATGGGGTGGCTGTGCTCCAGCACCCACTGAGGATCTGGAGGCTCCAGAGACTGCGGGAGCTGCCCAGGCCAGATGGTGAACACAGCACATCAACAGGTCTGTCACAGCACAGGAATGCAGGGGGAGGACACAGAGAGGGAACAGAGAGAGGGAACCCAGGAAAATGTGAGGCAGAGTGGTGAAGGGGAAAGAAAAATAGAACAGGAAAATGCGAAGAGCTCTTTGGATGCGCACTGAAAGTCATCAGGGACAACAGTGACAAGTCACAACGCAACTCTGAAAGGGCACAGCAGCCTGAGTCCCTTCAGGGGCGTGTAAGACATTTGTGAGAGCTCGAGACAAAATCCATTTTAAAAATGGACTGAAATCCATAAACTTACCCGTACAGAAATGTCAGGTCTAAAGATGGCGATGCACAATGGCCACTGTCTCTCCTGCCATCACCACTGACACATTTAACTCCCACCAACCCCCAGACCCCCCCAAAATGCTTCTGGCAGCAGAAAATGAAGTGTGAGGAATCAGCATAACACTGACTCCTCCAACACTGCCAGCTGGGGCTGGAGGAGATGAAAATGCCACATTATGCTGCCACAGGTTTTGATGCTGGGTTAGGCAACCCCCTCCTCTGACTCTTGGCTGTTGTGAGCCCCCTGTGGCACCCCCCCTCCCCAAACCTCATATAAGAGCCAGAGATGCTAAACCCAGTGGCTGTGGAGCTGAGAGGCAGAAACTCAGACATTTTTCTGCTTTAGGAGAGGCCAGCCCTTCTCCTGTACAGCAAGGCGGCATTATCAGGTGGTTTAATGTGCTCCAAAGTTGAGCCAAAGCTGTTAATGGTTGACAAAAGTGAAAATGGGATTTATTATAAATAAGGCTGTCCAGGAGCACACGAGGCAGCAGAGAAGGGACATTCTGTGTCTGGTTTGCAGAACACAGTGCATCATGCCCAACATAATCAGCACCAGCTAATCAGATTATTTGATGAGCCAGAGGGAGCAAAATCTATCTTTGAGTTGACGTAATCCACCAACAGACTGCTTAAGGATTCTGGATATTTTCATTCTGTGTCTCAGAAGCCTTTCTCTTACCTATTTATCGAGACTTATCCTTTTTATGAGCAAATCTAGGATTAAACACAGATGGCTCAAATTGAAACCAGAACACAAACCAGGTAAGAGTGAGATTCCAACAGAGCAGTGCCAATTACCACACTACTGGCTCAGCAGGATGGTGAAAGAATATCAGGGATACTTTAGAGCCATTAGTGGAGGCCTTGGATGGTAACTGAGGAAGATAAGGAATACACAAGTCTGGAATTAAAATGGGGAAAAGACATTTTTTTCTGGAACATCATGAAATGTTGGATGAGATTTTTATTTTAATTCAGGTCTAGCCTGATCCATAAATTCTTATCACATTAATATGATTTAATATATTTTAAATGTGTGTTCTGTAAAAATCTGTACCTTCTCTTAGTGTTCTTCATCACTAATAGGCAGTTTCAACAACTGCATAAAATGTAGCTTTCCATCTTATTTCTAATTTAATCTTGCAGAAAGCTGTCTAGCAGGGTATCTCACAATGCTGTGCCTTATTTATAGATACAATGAGGGGAACAGAAAAATAAATCATTTTCAAAACAGATTACTTTTCTGGAAGGACAGTTCTTTGATTGCTTTTATTCCTGACTTTAAATGAAAATAATTTAGTAATTATAGATTGAGCAACTATTGTTTACTTGTATCAGGCCTCACAAAAGCTGCTGTGCCTGCTTTTCTTGTATGTTGTGTTAAAAAAATGGGCAGAAACAGAATAAAATAATTGCAAGAGAATATTGCCTGGCATCCCTGTCTCCCTCCCACTGCACAAAGAGATGCTGGAGCAAAGCTGAGATATTTATTGAGCAGCAGGAGGTCATTAGCTTGTTGTCAGTCCTCTCTCCATTGACAGCTTGAAGTGGCTGTCTGGTAGGTAAGCTGCATCATAAACAGGCTTT